GCCATGCAGAACTGCACAAAACCAAACACTCTTCAAATCCATCCCCTCCAATCTGTGCTGGTCACATACAGAAACTGCAGGAACTATTTTAATGTGCCAATATTTGCTGTTGCTGTTCCTGAAAGTCACAGTGGAAATTCCTTGCAGGTTCTCCCTCTCTTCCCCATGGCCCCAGGGCCTGCTGAGCCCTGGTGGCAGCACCAGGTTTGCTCTCTGTGACTCACTGCTGTGGTTGGGATCCTTCACATCTACACTGAGCTTCCCATTTCTGTGGGAGCACAAATGGGTCTCTGGGGGAGAAATTCTGGAAGCATTTCAGTGATGTGGGCCAAAGCAAGCAGAGCAAACAGCAGAATTTCATCACCACCTCCAGCCTGTGCTCACTGTTCTCGGTTTCCAAAATGTTCCTCAGCTCGGTGAATCCAAGGCTGCCTCCATCCTCCTCACCTGCACCTGGCCACAAAGCCAACTGGGATTTTTAAATACCTAGCCTAAAGCTTATTAGGCTGATTTTAGGCAACTGGAACATGTTCTGAGAAAGACAACCCTTTGAGAAGGACTGAGAATTCAAGGCCCCAAATTGCCATCTGAAGGCACTTAAAACTCTGTCATACCTCTAAAAATGACAGAATCCTAGAAAGGGTTGGGTTGGAAGGGACCTTAGAGACCATCTCATTCCAATCCCACTGCCATGGGCAGGGACACCTTCCAATGGATAATCTTTCTGGAAAGAAATATGGACAAAAATCCCTAAACTAAAGGGATAACATCACTCAAGATTTCCAGCCATCATATTAAGAACTACTTGGGACCCAAACTGTGGACATCAGTGTCCACTGCTCATCTGTGTCTCACTGATTCCCTGCTCACAGCTCCACAATCCCCTGGCAGCAGCACAATTCCCAGCCAGGAGAAGGTGTGGCAAACCTTAGAAGTTCTCTGTGCTCCACAGCAAGTGAAGTTTCAGAAGGATGCATCACAGCATTCATCTGAGAACAAATATATTTAGTTGGCATGGAAACAGCAAGTTGGGCTGAATGTGGTAAATATCCAGCAGTCATAAAAAATCGAGCAAGTCAGGATAACAAACATTAAGAAGTGGCTGAAAGCTTTTGAATCATGGCTCTTTTACAATTATCACTCCTGTTTTCATTTGAACATGAGGGAAATCCACTTAAACTAAGCTGTTCCGTTTTATGCCAAATACTTCTACAACATCCTCCTTCAGATAACTCCTTTCTCCCTTTTTTTTGTAATCTATTTGAGAAAATAAAAAGAAATTAAAGGGCTGGAAAGCTCCACTGCTTTTCTCCTTCATTTCCTCAGCCATATTAATGAATTGAACATAACTGATTTTCTCTCTCAGAGAATCTCTCTCCTTTAAAACTCCTTTTAAGACTTGACTGCTTGGAGGAGTATCCTGATGGTTTGAGTATCTACAGTGTTGCTACTTCAGTTGTTTGTGACCATGAGGAACTTTTCCCCTTCTATTATCCCTAATTTTACATCATACTCAATCCACCCCCAGAGCTAGAAACATTAGAACAAGGAAAGTAAAGAGTAGTTTGTTTTTTTCCCTGAGAAAATTCTTGCATGTAATTCCCAAAAGAGAAATTCTTGGAGCTTTCTAGTAAACTGAGTTGGGGTGATTGCCCTTAAAAAAAGAATGTGAGATTAAATGAGTTATGCTAAAGACATCTAGGCAGTAAAGCAAAAAGATACTACCATGAATTTTTATACAGGCTCCAATTCAGCAAAATTTGTTACACATGCCTGAATTTCTGGATTCATTAAGGTACAGGGTTGAGCTCTCACTGATGTGTGTCATTTTTAATTACACATTCACAGGATGTAAAGTCTCCTGCAGGAACAATTGAGATATTTTAACCATGACTGACAAATGCACAAAGCCACAGGACTTAGGAAAGAGAAACATTTTCAGCAGCCTGAAAGATCTTTCTGTTGGAAATCTTATCTCACATCAGAGACAACCAAGTGATGCACTCCAAGAGTCTCAACAGAGAAACACAACCTAAATGGGCTTAGTTGACAGGAAGGTGATGCCCAGAGTTATGTGGTACTGAGGCACAAAAAACTTCAGCAAATGGTCTGGACACACCCAGAATTCCTAGAAACCTTCCCTGAGAGCTTTAACTGTCTTGGGACTACATATATAAATATATATACATAAAACTATACATTAAATGTGAGTTACACTTCACTTACTGCCAGTTTGCCACTTTCCCAGAACATAACAACTTATGTTTTAAGAAAGGGACATCTAATTTTTGAAGAATTGAATTTTGAAAAATTTTTGAATTTTTGACATCTTCACATCCAACATTTTGATGTGAAGAAAGCTGATACAGCTCTGAGTCTCCAATCTCCAAGGGCAGAACTGAACACATGGACCATGGTCCTAGAAAACCAGGATAGGGATAGGACAACCTTTACGGAAAAGATAAAATTATTCAGGCTGGTCAAAGTGGGAGAAGTTCCCAGGCACTTGGGACAAACCTGACTGGAACTGATCATTGCAGCACTGGTGAGGCAACACAGCTACAACAGGATTGCATCTACTCCCACTGTAAAGGGGATAGAAGAAATAAGCAGGAATAAACACAAATTCATCCAAGAACACAAAGTATGGCAGTGGAAAAGCTCCATAAAAATAACAGCTCCTCTCCAACTGCAGCTCCACACTCACTTCTAGACAGCTCAGGGTTTGCTGACAAAGTCCTACAGATTTCTCCCCTTTATTTATAGGACAGTTTGTCTCTCTGGATAATTATAAGGAAGGTTGAGCCTGTGTGATCACCACAGGGTTATTGTAACAAAGAGTTAAGCTTTGCTGCTCTGTCAAGTCATTCTTAGAGACTGAAGAGTTATAAGGACATTGCACTGAAAAAACAGCCAACATGGAGCACTAAGATACCACCCAACAAGCCATAACGAGAAACAGCTTTTTATTTTTAATTAAAAGCACAACAAAATGTTTTTTCATGTCTCATTCATTTGTTTGTTGTTGTTATAGAATCAAAACATGAGATTTTTCCTTTTAATGAAAACCAGAAGCTGTTTAACCCTCTCTCCTCCTTATTCATAGACATGTAAAAGCTCTGAAAAGTGACTTTTGTCACAGTGCCAGAGCAAATCTCCATGTTTGATGCAATTCTGATTCAGACAATATTTGGTAAAGCAGAAAGCAACTTAGTGCCTTGAATCTTTCAGCTCCCTGATCGGCTGATGAGTTGCTAACTCCTGTTAGCACTTGATGAACATGCTCACAGGTAGCCTGGCCAAACTTAATAACTGTCAGCATCTCAGAGCTGTCATAGTTGCATTTTCCTTCTGGAGAGATAAGCAGAACTAATGGATTAACCAGTCCCAGAGAAGACACACTAACAACTCTCAAAATGTTTGTCTGCAAAATAGACCAAAGCCACCTAAACAAAACCATCCCCAGTGGCTCCAGCAGCTCCACAAGGTCCCAGGGGATGAATGGCAGAGAGAAGACCACTGGGGATATGAGTGATCTCAAAGTCTGCCCAGATGCTACCACCTTGCAGGAAAACTCAAAGATGGATAGTACACTGTAATATAAATAACCTTTCTGTTCAGTGCTGCTGGGGAACAGGACATTGCCAGCTGAGCTAGTCAATAATTTGGCATGGACAGGATAGTTCTGTAGGTTGGTTTGGACCAGGTGCTCATGTAAGAGGAAACCCTGAAGGCAGCAAGGGAGAGCACCCTGTGAACCTCTATGTGCAGCTTTCTACCTCTGCATTCCACAGGTCATTTGCTGTTTCTTCCTCTGGAGCCTCTCTCAAAATGGGTCTGACCAAAAGCAAAATGGCAATGATAAAGAAAACGAGAAAAAAGAGATTTGGAAGAGGACATCACTCAGCATGTGCAGCCAGTGCTGTTCCCTGGGAGGGACTGCTGTGCCTTAGAGAGCTGAGTTTCCTTCTCCTTTTCCAGGAGACTCTAAAGCCAAAATGCAGTGCTTGTAGGCCAACTCACTGCCCCAGATTGCTCTGATGCTGCAATAGTGTAGCTAAGGATGAACCTGGCCCAACATCTGGATCTGGGAGGCAGAGGGGGAAGACAATGGAACAGCTAATCACTGACTCTCCAGAGAGGAAACAGATGAATGTAAACACCAAGGATGAAAGAGGATTCCCATGTGCAAATAAGATGACAACAACTGAGGAAAACTATTTGAAATGAAGGATTATTAATCTTCTATAATCACCTCAAATAATTACCCCTGCAAATAGAGTTAGAAATGTTTCATGTAGGATACATGTTATTGATACTGTTTACTCAGCACCAAATAAAGTTCTCAAATGCTGCAAAAACTGATTTGGTTTAGAACAATCTGTAAATCTGTACATGATTCAGATATTCATCACCTGTGTATTTTCCTGACTATTTCAGTCTGATCTGGTTTGAATGCAAATTGTTGACATGCTGTTTCAATATGAGTCTGTAAACACCATTTTGCTCAAAGCACACTAAATCTCTGACTTCACTGATAGTGGCCAGAAATGTTTTAGCACTATTAATCATACAAAACTGTTTACAGACAAACATGTTAGGACAATGAATGCAGAAGATCAGGACGAAAGATTATTTTTAGTTCAGCTATTGTCCAGTTATAATCTTCTTCATACAAACCACTAAACAACAGGTCTGAAGAGTCTCAGAAACCTCTCCTCAAACAGCCCAGTCAGCTGAAAACAGTTCAAAATAAATGCATCATTTAACAGCTAGAATATTTGAAATACCAACTTGCAATAGAGAGCAGGAGATAAGTATTTGCCTGAAGGGTTCAGACAGTTTAATGCTCTTTTATTACCAACAAAACAGAACAGAAAGCAAGCTGAACATTTTGCAGGAAAATATGTCCTTTCGCTTTGAAGCCAGATATTATTATTTTTAACCACCAAACCTCCTTGCCCAAGGGAAGAGGACAGGGAGGGGACAGCACCCAGTACCTGCTCTTGGCTCTGCAGGCTCAAGTGTTGCAGTTTCCTCTCTGTAGCACAGAGCTGAGCACGGTACCTTTCCACTTTGTCTTCTAAGGCCTGAAACAACACCAAGGGATGCAAAACACGTGTGAGAAACATGGGAGAGCAAGAAAACTTACAGAGAAAACTTAGGAGAGCAGTATGAGTCCTGCTGCTCCTAGTAAGACGTGACAGAGTCAGTTTGGCCACTCATTGAGTAAAGTTGCTCTGCACAGGTAGGACCAGGATTGAACAGGAGTACAACAGTCAATAGTTCCATCTTCTTAGAGGCTACAAGTATTCATACTAAAAATGTAATCAATACCCTCAAAGGGATCTCTTGGGTATTCAAGGAAGGCAAATGGAAATATTGCAACAACTGCATTTGATTTTTGTTACCATCTTATTCCTACAACTTGTGTTTCCCAAGGACAGTTTTGCAGTGCACCAATAGTTTTTACTTTCAGCCAGAAGAATAATCCTTTCTCTAGAAAACAATGTCTGGAATTCACAGTGGAAATGTATCCCATATTATTGCACTGGGATGAGGGTTTCCCTTCCTGCCCCAGAGTCAAGTCTGGGATGTGATCTACAAATCAAGTCTATATAAATGGTAATAAATTAAAGGAATATGATGATCATGTCACTTTACCACAACTAGCCAAGCTTTATTTAGTTCAGAAGCAATCACTAATCTAATAAAATGCATCAACAAATGCATTTTGCCATGATTGTTCTTATATATTTATTTTTACTATGGCACTCACTCAGAGCCTTGATCTCTTTTGTTCTGTGCTTAACAAAAGAACAGCTTGCCCCAAGGAACTGATAGTCTATGCTATTTCTAACAGATACACACCAAACAAACAATACAAAGTTTCAAAGATTTTTTTTCTTTTTTTTTGAAAGTTTCCTCCTCATTGTTGGGTGTTTGAATACAAGCTTAACATTTACTTACACATTTACTGAAAGCTTAGTGATGTTGTCAGCTTGAATAAAAGCATTGTTAACTGCAAGTGCTGACTCCAGGCAAAGAGCACAATGTGCATGGGGGATTGACACCAGCACAGAGGCTGTGGCTGCAGAAAGGGAATATTTTGAGTTATCTTTTGTATGGCAGGAAATCAGGGCAGTGATAGTCATCAGCCCAAGGTGAGGTGCAAGGGCAGGGCTGGACCTGGGAAGGGACTCACGTTGGATATTCACTGTAAATGCCACTGAAGGAGCCTCCAGAGCTGCTTTTTAAAAGCTGAGCTGCACAGAGACCCTTGGCTCATAGGAGCACAGAACTACTAAGGCTGGAAAAGACCTCCAAGATCAAGTCCAAGCTGTGATCAATCCCCCCATGCCCACTAAGCCTTACTATGAAACTCCTCATCTACTTGTTCTCTGAACACTTCCAGGGATGGTGACTCCATCACCTCCCTGGGCAGCCCATGCCAATGCTTAACCACTTTGCCAGTGAAGAAATCTTTCCTAATATCCAACCTGAACCTCCCCTGGCACCTCTGCCTCTCCCTTGAGAGGAGAGAGCCCTGAGCCCACAGCCTAAGGTGCTTTGCAGAACATGTCATATGGTTAACATTTGCTTCCTCCCAGTAGAACATCCCTGCAGACCTCAGGAGTGTTACAAGGACTCATGGTGCAAAGATTTAACAGGAAAAAAAAAACCCTTGCTCTTTTCCACAGCACTGAAATACTGTACTCTCCAATAATTTACAAGCTAAAATTGCTATGGAGATAAGATAAGAGGACTACTTATGCTAGATCCTGCATGCTGTTTTGAAGTGATGCCAGGCATTAACTTTAAAGTCTCATAGCTATAAGACTATTACATGTGCTGATGCCAAAAATTGTAACCAGACCCAAACATGAACCTTACATCTGCCCAGGGACTTTTACACTGTCCCTGCTTTGGAGCAATTCTGAAATCCAGGTTTGAATACTTAACCTGTCTTCAATATCCAGCTTGCAGTCCCAGGAATTTGCATAAATATAATGAAATCTATGTAGGCATTGTAGGCTTTTTGTTTTCTTTTGGTACATCTGATCTTGTGAGGAAACACACAAACAAACACACTGTGTTTTAAAACTAAAGGGTCACACAATGTGGAAATGCAATGAGGAACAGGGTCAGCCCATGGATCAGAAATATCACCAAAAACCCAATTAATTGGACAAAAGTCCTGCCATAAACCCACAGTATCCAGATATAACCAGCCCAGGATGACTCTCAGGAACATTCCTGGAGCATGTTTTGGATAAACTACAAAGTATGACCCATCTCCTCTTTCAGGAGCAGCTTTTCCAGTCCAAATGGCTCAGCATGGTGAAAAACAAGGAGGGAGGAAACCTCAGCACACATCAGTCATCCTTCCCTTGTGCTCAAGAGGAAGTTCCACACTTTCACAGGACTTTGAAGATGGTCAAGAGATAACATGTGTATGTACAAATGAATGTGCATTAGCCTCAGAGAACACATTTACATCACACAGATCTCCAAGCACAAAACAGGGTCTCAAACTGGTCCAGCCCAAGACACCAGCCACGTGGTGGCAAAGAAAACTGGTGCTCTGCTCTTTCCTGCCTTCACTTCTCCATTTTTACCTTCCTTATTGACAACAGACAAACATATCTTTGCAGAGGTTCCTTTAAATCTGAGGGTTTGCGATGCATCTGTAAGTAATTTAATTTGGGAAATTCAGATAGCACAGTCTTTGTTAGGTCCACCTACTCCAGAGAGTGTTTGCCAGTGTGGAGAACACGTGTTTGAGCTCATTATGAGTGCAGAAAATGTCTTAAATTTAGCAATAAGGTATTTTTACTACAGCATGTAAGTGCAGCAAACTATCAAGTCTTACAATTATTACTTCACCAATTGTCCAAACCAGAACACACTGAAGGAGTTCACAGACTTTTCCAATCACATCCTAATTGGCTCTTGGCAGATTTTGCATCGGGATGGCAAAAAAAACCCAACTAACACCTCAGATCAATCACAAATACCTCTAACTGGAGCCTTTTTGTGAACCAGATCCCTTTGTAGAACCTGGTTTTGTGTATAAAAGATACTCCATGAGCAATTCATGTTCATTTGAGTATTACAGCAAAGAAAAGGCAAACCTAAAGATCAGCATTTGATCAAAGTTGAGCCCAAAAAGACAAAGTAACATCAAAATCTCATAGTTGCTGTACACTCCTGCATAGGATTAGTTCTGAAAATAGCAATTAGAAGTAAGCAAGTTTGTTGCCCATGATTTTAATTTGCTAGGAGGAATCCTGATGGATGTCATGAATAATTCACTTTTTTGAAGATCACACTGAAAATTCTCTTTATTGTCAAAAATAGGCAGTGGCCAGAGCCTGAATGCTGATGGCTGTCCTGAAGCTATACCAGCACCCTCAGTCTCTTTCTGTATCTAAAGAGAAGCTTTAGCCATGTAGAATACTCCTAAAAACAGCCTGAGACTTACCCCAGGTACATCCCAGAACATCTCTTCTGCAAAATTCAACTATGTTTTCTTTTGCTTAGAAATGCAGTTTTTATCCTGCAGCCTCAACATGTCACATTTTACTGCCACCAAAAAAGAGCTTATGATCAATAACTGCTGAGATTAAGAAAAAGGGATTAAAAAATAAAAATCCAGGCCAGTTTTTAAGTGTCAGAGGCTTTTTTTTTTTTCCTGAATGGAAAACAAAAATTTCACTTATTTAGCTGAATTTTCCCAGGTAAGAATGAATCTCTGTCCCTCAGCTGGGCTAAGTTGCCTTGCATCACTGCTATAAAGTGAGGATTTTATTTTCAGTTAAACAGGCTTTCAAATGCCATGTAAACATGTTTGCTGTTCAATGTCTACACCATACCTGACCTTGGAAGTGCTTTGTGTTGGCCAGAGAACAAAGCACTGAAATGTTTTGCTTTCCAGCCCAGATATCCTACACTTTGAAAAGCTCTTAAAAATGTAAATGAGATAATAAGCTCCACTGCAACAATGTGGGTGAATTAGAGCTGTAGAAAAAGGAACATTCATTTGATTGAGTTCTAAAAATGGAAAGGATCCTAAAATAAAATCCTATTGTTTTGGTCACACACAGCATGGAGAGGCAGAAGAAGGATGGAAGAGAAGAGCAATGGCTTTGAGAATACACCACTGAAGCATCACAGGTTGAATTTGGGACCTGAAGAGGAGTTTGGGGACGAGTCCATCACTGTCTCTGTGATATGTGAGATGTTGGGTGTTGGCTGATGTGGAAGGAGAAAGATCATCTGACCTGCATTTCTAGGTAGGCACTTTTTCCCCCCCTATTATTCGATTGTGGGTTGATTATCACCAGCAGAACATTTAGTGAGGTTTATTTCAAACCCAACTGGAGCCTTTTGCAGACAGTGGCACAGCACACATAGAGTTGGGGCATGTGGAGCAGCTCACAGAGACAC